TTATTTTAATTTATTAAAATTAGGACAAAATTGAAAGAATATATAAATATTAAAGACCAATTATGTAATTATACTAAAAATATTTTAACTGCCATGTCACTTTCTCGGTTAAATGTTAATGCAGGGTGGCTTGATTAAAACATTTAAAAAGTTGGGTTGTCTGATTGATCAAATCGAAATATTAGTGGTCAAAATGATTTTTGACTATAGTTGAGTGGTAACCGTATAGTTTACCCTAAAAATTAATGTAATTAATATTATAATTTAAATAAATTACATTTAGATTTTTAACTAAATTATTATTATATGTTGAGTATTTTATAATTTAATATTTTATAAATTAATTTATTGATGCTTATTTTAATGGTCTTCATCAGTACTTATCGAGTGTGAAGAATCATTCAAATCAAATACTATAAAAATTAACATTTTTTTTTTAATTTAACGAATAATAATTGTTTTAAAATGGATGAATAAAAAAATGCTATTTTGAATTGCCAAATAAAGACAATAAAATACAGCCTTGTAACTAAAAAAATAAGATAGTTTTGGTGTACGACAACCTTAATATAAGGTTAAAAAAATCGTTAATAGAAATGTTATTATTTTTTTAATATTTTCGGTAAAAAATTATCTAAAACATTATTTGTTTACCTAAAACATTAATATTTTTTAACATTTCCGGTAAAGTGATTAATACTAGCATTTCTGGTAAAAAAATAATATTTTAAGTAGCGCTTTACCAGATATATTAAATATTTCTGGTAAAACGCCCTATAATAATATTTTCAATAAAAATAATAATGTTTTAAATATTTTTTTACAGAAAATATTAAAAAAATAATATTTTCGATAACATCTTTTTTAACCGTATATTAAACTATTGCACGTTAGATTTTAAAAAAAATATGTCCGATTAACTGTTAATTTATGTCTTTTGCCGACATTCTTATTTGTCGGTGATGATTACAATAGTTTTTTAATTCGCCGTCGAACACTCAAATACATAAGATTAAAATCAGAGGTATAAATAAAGTGTTGAAATTTTAAATGTATATTAATTATCAATTAGTATAGTAACATCAATATTGGAGTTTTAAAATAAATTATTGGTTTTAGATATTTTACAGAACTGTTAATTTCATTAAAAAAATATTCATAATTATAATTATATTGAAAGATTACGATCATAATTGTAAATTAAACATCTAATCAAGATATTTTTCTAAAATATTAACGTAAAAATTAGTTACTTAAGATCACATAAGGATTATACAAGGAAAATGTCATAACCTAACTAAAAAACTCCAACAAAATATAAATGGGAACAGATTTGACTGCATCGGCAAATAAACCATAAAAGGATATCAAGCTACTGAAAATACTATTAACAAATCACAATTCAGACTCGAGCAACGTGAGAAAATTATCCACGAACGCATCTAAATTCAATCCAAAGATCTAAAGCATAAAATATCAATATGATAACAAATATGTATCAACTTGATGAGTCATGGTAATGTCAAATCTAATAATGAAAAAAATAAAAGAAAACAATTTTCAAACAACAAAAAACGTGTCAAAAGACGAGAAAAAATATGTCATAAAAACAAAGACAAATAGGCCATGAATATATTATTATAAGTAGAAAGTAAAGATACAAAATAGAAAAATAAAAGAAAAAAATGAAGAATACATATGGTCGGTGACTAGTATAAAGACAGATTTCATCGTCGATTAGTAAAGATAGAAGAAAAGTATAAGTAAATGCAAACATTTCTTTAAATCAAATATCAATGATTATAATAAAATAATTATATTAATATTTTTATCAATAATAATTGATCTTATGAATAAGATAATATATCTCTTAAATAAGTTAGAAGTTCAAATCTTTATATTATTAATGAAGTAAATTGGATTAGTAAGTTCGTCAGCATAAATGAGCTTTATAAATATATGATATAGATTAATCAATTAATTATGGACGAAGACACCTTATGGATGGGAGGGATAGCTATTGACGGGGTAACTACATTTTAAGTCATTGGATGTTTTAAAACTATTACAATTAAGCTCTTGTCCCTAGGGATGACAAGCGAGCAGGACAAGTGCGGATACCTCTTCTCTCATCTCCATATCTATCTAATATATTCACATCCACCATCTACCCACCATTTAAGATGGATAAAATTTTTAAATCTACTCCTATCCATATAGATATATTCTCAAATCCACCCCCACACTCATTACTCAATTGGTTACCCACCACCCATCTCGTATATGTATGTATTTATCAATTTCCATATGGCAGCAACATCACAGATTATATAAGCGACGATCTTTAATTTTAAAAATGTTTATACTCTAACATGTGATTAAATTACAAGTCATGTCCTATAAAATATTAAATTTACAGAATAGTCTATAAAATTATACCTAGATTCATAATGGTATAAAATTTATATGGTTGGTAGTTAATGGGCGAGCGGATGTGGGGCGGGCGAATGTGGGGCGGGTAAGGTCTCAAACCCATCACCTACGCACTGCCCACGGTGGGTATAACTTTTTATATCCACACCCGCCACTACCCACTAAACTTATAACCATCCCGCCCAATTGAAGTGGGTGCGATGCAAAATCCACGAAATTATACCTGTCTGCTTCTCATCCCTACTTGTCTCCCAAATTTTTTGGTATAATTATTTTTGGGATATTGTGAGTTTTAAAATTAATATAATCAAGTCTTGACCAAAAATTTATATGATTTAATTAATTTAAGACATTTAAATTTTAAAATTAGTAAAATTATACTCTTAATCTCTTAATTTATTATGATTTAATTATTTTTAAGATTTTATTTATTTTAAAATTAAATAATTTGACCAAGAGATTTAATTACAATTACAAAAATATTTTCGATTGTATTGTGTTTATCGCGATTATGATAATTACAAATACTATTACGGGTATCAAGATTGTATGATAACGATTTCAACTGACATTCTTACCTCTATATAAATGTCGCTATTCAAATAGTAAACCATCATTTAAATTCTTGTTGGTCAGTTCACCCTCATATTATTAGCGATTAAATCAAAAATAAAATAGTGACTCTAAGTGAACGTAGCAATACGGCGACGTTTAGAAGTGAGGAAATGCGATCCCTGGTCAACAACCCTTAATGAGAGAGGACCTCACATTTACTTATGTACGGACCCACCAAGTCTAACCCACAACACCACGTGTCAATATTTTTGCAATATTACAACATAAGAAAAATAATTAAAAAATTTGACATCAAATTAGGTAAATTAAACTATAATGCACTCTATTACTAATAAGTTTACAATTGAGTCATCATTTTCAAAATGTCACACTTGAGCCACTCAATTAATCTATTGTAAGTTATTTTGTTGCTTAATCTCAAACAAATGATAACTTTTACATTTACTCTTTGATCACTCAATCATGAGTAAGTTTACATTTTAGTCACTCAACTTTTGGTTACAAGTCAACTTTTTGGGTTTTCTAGATCGGTAACATTATCAAATGAATCACTTAATTTAAAAAAATAGAAATGAGTTACTCAATTAACTGGTTGTTACAAATAAATTATTGGGCTTACTGTGAAACAAAGGTTAGAATGCGTTGTTAGGAAACATTCTTAGTGGTTTTCTTATTAATAAGATACAAATAGGTCACCCAATTTTCAGAAGTCACAAATGATTAAATTAATTAATCGAAAAAGAAAACTTATTTTCGATTTTGGAATTTTCAAAGAGCAGGGCTCTATTCGATAATTTAATGTTGGAAAATGAAGAATATATTTCGACATGGGGGCATCTAACGATGATAATGTAGATCGTGGTTAAAAAAAATGAAAATTTTAAAGTGGTTTTATGGATTTTGAGATAAATTAATGAGAATCTAATGTGATGAATAAAACGTGGGATCAAGGTGAATCTTATAATAACATTTGAGGTTCATCGATCACTATATATGATAATTGTAGATAATTAACGAGATAGTATATGCCATGATTGTTATAATCAATTAATTGGGTGAGTTGATATCACAATCAATTAACTGAATAAATTGATTGTAACTATATTAAATCTAATATTTTTAATAAATAAAATAATCCACAAAAATTTATCTAATATTGAATGACCGATTGACATCTTTATAACAATCGATTAATTGATTAAGTTGTTTGTAACCTTTTGAAACTGGATGACCTATTTATAATCTTACTAATAATTGACTGATATGTGGTGTAATTTACCCTCCGTAATATTTTTATGTTTTTTTAGATTTAATGATAAAATGACTTCAGCAATTGAGTGGCTCAATTGTTACCTTTCGAAATACAATGGCCCAATTGTAAAGATATAGTTTAAAGGTGTCTTATACAATTAAATAAAAAAAAAGGGAAAGTACACAAACGATGTCAAGTATAAGGTGTTACTTTATTGAGATTGTCGACTATTATACAAAATGACCATTCGACTGTAGGACGTTGCTTTTTGAGTCATTCGACTATTAAAAAATACAAAATGATCACTCGACTATTAAAAGTTATAAAATGATCATCGACTAGGATATGATAATCATTTGAGATTTTGACATCATATTTTACCATATCTCAATTAGTAGGTTAATGCTCAACTCAAACTGTCATCAAATTATCAACGGAAGAGGACGAGTTTAGAACATATAAATAGTCGGGTGACTATTTTATAACTTTTAATAGTCAGAGGACTCAACAAAGAACCCTATAATCAAGGGGCTATTTGAAAACTTTTAGTAATGCAGTACTCAACAAAGTAGTATCTTATAGTCGGGGGATTATTTGTGTAATTTTTTCCAAAAATAAATTACTTTAATCTCCGTTAAAAGAGATGTATTGTCCGCAACCTAACCCTCACAGTCACACCTTGTGAGGTTTAGGAACCGGTCTCTTATAATTTCCCTTTTTATTCTTTTAAATTTTTAAAAAGAAAATCTTAGCAAGAAATGTTGGAAGAATCAATGTCGTCAACTGTACCTTCTTCCTCCCTCTTGTCTTCCATTTTCAGCTGGTTTACTCCCACTGTTTTCTTCGTCTTCGTTAACCTCACTATCGGTACCATCTTCTTCACTTCCTCCTTAGCTTCCAACAAACCCTCCGCCGCCGCTGGTGTCGGCGAAGGAGATGAGAGAAACGACCCAAGACTAGTTAGATCCCCATCTGTTTTCCAAAGGCTCAAATCCATCAACTTGTATTCTCATAGATCCGAGGAGCCCGTGAGTTGCAATTCAAAAATCCCAGATATCGGTGCCGATTTCCATTTCTCTTTTCAAGAACAAACCATCCCGGAATGGCGGAAGCCGTCTTCTCCGCCGCAGCGGATGTCGGTGCCTTACGTCGATGGTTCTCCTTCCGTTTTGCAAAGGCTTAAGTCGATCAATCTCTACGGATTCTTCTCTCCGGAGCAGAAAACCCATGAAATCAGCTCGCATTACACTCCTGACGAAGAAATGAAAGAGCCGGAAGTGGTTGAAGATGTGAGCAGCGGTTTCCATTTCTCTTTTCAACAACAAACCACCCCAAGTCAGCCGCCGTCGCAGCCGGAGGAAGCCATTGAAGAAACACAAAAACTTGAAGAAATACCCAGTTTCTGTGAGGTGAAGGTTAACAAAAGTGAAGTGGCGAGGACCAAATCTGACGTCGAACCAGCGTCCGGCGTAGTACCGACGAAGCTATCGAAGAAGATGAGGAAATCAGCGAGTCTCAAGTCTCCGTTCTCGCATTTCGAGGAAGCAGACATCGTGGAAACACGACGGCCGGCCACCGTGAGAGAAGGAAAGGGTAAAGCTACGGAGGAGGAGGACGAAGTGGATGCGAAAGCAGATGATTTCATCAATAAGTTCAAGCAACAGTTGAAGTTGCAAAGGATGGACTCCATTAGGTACAAGGAGACGGTGAATAGAGGTGGTAATAGGTGAAGTAAATTAAACGTAGATCTGTTATTAGTACTGTCTAATTACATTCTGTTCCAAAAAAAAAAAAAACATGGCACTTTCCATTTCATTTCAATGGCGTTTTTAGAGTATTTTCGTCAATCGTATCCATGGCGGTTTTAGCTTGTTTTTGCCTTTGCCTTTGCCATTCCTAGCATTATCGTTTAGCTTTTTGCTGCTAGCAGAGAGCCGGAGAGGTAATGCAACTGTGTTAAGGTTGTTCTTTCACTCCAAACTAGAATGATATAGCATAGACTTGATCCATGCTTGATATTTGATGTTATTTTAATTATTAGTTTTTTTTTAATTTAGATTTAGAGTGGATTAGTTTTTTTTTCTTGAGAGCGTTGTACAATCGATTATGTCTCAATTAATCATAAATTCCATTTGCTCCATCGATTAAAATTTAAAAGCTACCCATAAGACAGATCTTGATATTACTTGATGAATTGAGTTCCTTAAATGTGAGCCTTTTTCGATGACATTAAACACAATTTGACTTTGATAGACTTTGGTTTCCGTGTCTAAATTTGCATGAGTCTTAGATTTTGATATCTGAATGCTTTTATTCATTAATTAGATCAAATCTTGCTAGGTTTTTTAACGTTGTAAAATAATAAGCGATGGTCAAAATATTCCAACTCCAATTTTGCTTCCATTTAATTTTATAGGGCCAAATTTTCAAAATTCATATTTGGAACAACAAGAGTCGGATCATACATAATTGAGTTATGATAATTTTATTATCCAGTTAAAAAAATTATTATAATGTCTCTTTATATACATTTAGAGATATTACTGACATTATTTTAAAATTAACTTCAAACGTTTATTAAAATGAGAACCTTAATCTTTATAAAAAAAATTAGTTGACCTTATTCCCATATGTAATGGGATAAGGGGGAGGTAGGATAGTAGGTTGATCCCAACGTAGGTTGAGAGCAGTTTCTGTAACAAACCTCCGAATTATGAAATGTCCTCTATGAGACTCGATCCCACAACCCCAAGATTAAGAACCTTGTGCTCTACCAATTGAGTGGATGGTCATTTTAATCATAATATTTTATTTTAAAATTGAAAAATAATCCATCAAATAAAAAAATTTAATTTTTGAAAGAGTGACCAAAAATTTCATCCCGATGGGTCCCGTTTCTATTAAAACCACATTGGTTCTCCAATTTCTATGAGTTGGCTTATAATGCGAAGTTGCAATGGGAAGAGCGGCAATTAGCAAAAGACCCAAAGCCCTAGAATTAGGATAAAGTAGGTAAGTTTATGTGGTGACCGTGACCCCCGAAAAGTCAAAGGAAACACATTTTAATTTAAGGCTGAGGAAATATTGATCGAAAATGTTATAAAATCATAATATTTTTATTAGATGCACCTAAAATATTAACTTTTTAATATTTTTTGGTTAAAAACTTTCTTTTTAATATTTTTCGGTTGACAACCGAAGACGTTACTTCTTCATAACATTTTCGATTCAACAAAAAATATTATGATTTTTATAATATTTTCGGTTATACCCATTTCATGTCGTTTATTAATCTTAAATTAGATTGTTGTAGTCAGAAATATCCAGTGCCACTGCCTCCATATTTAAGCATATGAAAAAGACGGTAGCTTCATCTTTGTTGCTCCCCACCCAATAACAATCCATAGCGGCTCAATCATGCTATTATTTTTAGAATTCAATTCAATTGGGTTTGATTGATTAAATCGAAAATCAATCAAGTAAAATTGAAAATTAAAGGTTAAAGTATGGAATTGGTCATACTTTTCGGTCAATTTTTTTTATATAAACATCTATGTTCATTTTCTTTTACTTTTTAATTAATTATAGATTATTTATTATTATTAGGTATCACGTAAAACTTCAATCCTACAAAAAAATTTATTCAAAATCATTACTTCGTTTTAAACGAAGCAAGACTGGTCAATGAAAATGCATGGTATCATTGAGAACATAAACAATTGGTGTTGGCAGCACGATTCTATTCACCCACCAAACATGCCATCTTGAATCCATTCCCCATGTCACCCAAAGTTACATCACATAGAGGGAAATGGGGCAAAAATTAGATCACTGAGTTACATTTAACTGATTGTTTTGGATACTAAAATTTTTAAAAGTTCTAAAATTATAATTGAATTTATCAAACTGTTAGAAAAATCACTGCAACATTATAATAAGTGTAACTTTTATTTTATAAATCTAAGGATAACTAAAGAATAAAGATCAATAAATTATACTTAAAATGATCATTTTGGTCACTAAACGTTTAAAAATCATAAAATGATCATTAAATTTATCGAATTGTTATAAAATGATCAGTTTGATATTATAATATATTGTAAAAGTTTGATAAACTTAATGATATTTTATAAACATTTTGATAAATTTTAATGACCATGTTGTAACATATCGATTAATTTATTGAAAATTTAATGACCATTTCATAATTTTTGAAAGTTTATTGATCAAAACAATCATTTGTGTATAGCTAAGTGACCTTTGATGTACTTTATCTTAAACTAATGATCATTTAATAACAATTTAATTAAATTTATTTATTATTTTAAAATTATTTGATAAAATGTAATGATCATTTTGTAATAGTTTAATTATTTTATAATTTTAAAAGTTTAATGATTAAAATAATCATTTAAACATAGTTCAATTATATGTATGTAATTTACCCAAACTACTATTATATCAACATCAACAACTTTTGCTTCCCTTACATGTAAAGTTCAAAAGGAACCTAAACCAAAATCCAAGGGCAGAGCACAACAGATCGAGATCCAATGGTAATGGGATGATGCATATGGATACCTGCTATCATTAACCACCATAAAAAACTTTCAGTTTCTAATTATGAGTTCAGGTGTTATTGTAGGGTTTAAATAACGGTCTGTTATCGAAATAATCGTTGTTATATAAAGATAAATGAATTGTCTAAAACTGTTATTTCACAATTACGATAATTGCAAAGACTACATTAACATCTGCTATTGTTATAATAACAATAAAAGCAATGCAACTAGAAACGTAATCACAACCGTAATTTTTATATCTGGTTTTGGTACTTCTTTATATTCACAGTCCCACATGGCTAAGAGCAACATGGATTTCAAGTTCAAGTAAAGGAAGATTGTTGAGTTAATCGATCGACGAAATAGCCAAGAGGGGGGTGAATTGGTAATTAAAATTTTGGTGGAATCTTTTGCAGAAAATAGAAAATATTTGCACAACGATTTAGAGTGGTTCAACTTTCTCAACCAAAGTCTTCACACTAAGGATTTTCCAACAAATTCACTAATTTGTTCTTTCTTTTGAGGATAAAAAGTAACATTACAACTCCCTCAAGAATTATACCCCAAATTCTTGATAACACTCTCTCTCAAAGAGAAGAATACAAATTTCACAAACTTACAGAAAACCCTCACAAGGTAAGATGTTTGCACAATTCTAGAACAAATAAAGAACACTCAAGAATAAATACAATTGAGTACAAGTAGTGTTCTTGAAAGAAAAAATGAATATTGAATGAAAATTGGCTTGAATTGCTCAAACTTGATGTTTAAGGCTTTCTCTTTGTTTTTCTCACAATTGTTGTTGATCAATGGCTCCTAAGCTTGTTTAAATACACCATGGATCACTTCTGAACGTTGGAGATCATTGGTGAAGTCAATAGAGTCGTTATTGTATAATTATCATTTAAAAATCTGGTTGGGAGCGTAGGTGAATCGGTACACTCTCAAGGGTGTTTCGGTACACTATGTCTAAAATTCAAATATTTCGACCGTTAGTTGACCTAGTGCATCAGTACACTTGGGGTGCATCGATACACTAATTACATTCGATGTTTCAAAAGAGCAAGGAGTGTATCGATGCATGGTCTGTGCATCAGTACATAAAATACATTCGATGTTTCAATAAAATCAGGAGTGCATCGATGCATGGCTGTGCATCAGTACACAAAATGCATTCGAATTAGGGTGTGCATCGATACATCCAAGTAGGGGTGTGCAAAAAAACCCGATCCGACCGATCCGATCCGTTGATCCGTTGATCCGATCCGAAAATTCGGATATCCGATCCGTTTTTTAATTTTCGGATAGTTTGGATCGGGTATCCGAATTTTTTTTCGGATTTTCGGATCGGATACGGATTGGTCAAAATCAAATTTCGGATTATCCGAAAATCCGAAAAAAATTAGGCTATATTATTAGCCCAGAGCTGTTTGGTCTTGTTCTACCATTTCCTTTTACTTATCGTCCAGAATTTCGCTTATTGTTTTAAAGGAATTCAAACCCTAATTTCATTTATGTGTTTCTCGTCGTCCCATACCGCCCTACCCCTGTTTATTTCTTATTTTTGTTGCTGCTGCTACCAATTCATAAAGGTTCGTTTCCCGATCCAAACTATTTCCTTAAAATGCTTGTTTCCAAAATGATTATTTCTCAAAAGAGCTGCGAGTCTCCTCTCTCAGATTCCTCAAATACGGTCAATTAATGAAGCAATTTATCTAGTACCCTTCGAATTTACCCTTTGAATTTAGCTTATTTTTCAATTTCAGTTTTTTGATCGCTTGGAACCATTGAATTATTGGTTAATTTTATAGGCTTTCAAATGTTATTTTTGTTCCCTAAATAGTTAAAGGCGACTTGTTATTAGCTATCAAAGGTATCCCATCATGTATTTCTATTTGCTCACACTGTTGTGAAAAAACTGTGGGTCACCTTCTTTCTTCACTTTTCTTCTTCTTTCTATTGTTGTTTGAATGGAATCGAGCTTTTCCTAATATGTTTCTGCGCATCGTTTGATTTAACATGAAACGTGCTTCACTTTTTTAGTAATTACGAGCAGGATTTTATTCAGGTTTAGCGAAGTGTTTTGACTTTCGATTAGTAGCAACATGTGCTAATATACTGTCGGTGGAGGTTACAACTTGCAACAAATCTTAATTTGGTTTCAGTTTAACTAATTGTGT